CTCTCTCTCTCTCTCTCTCTCTCTCTCTCTCTCTCTCTCTCTCTCTCTCTCTCTCTCTCTCTCTCTCTCTCTCTCTCTCTCTCAAGATTGCTCATCTACGATACCGCACTCGGATTCACTCACGCAATCCCGCACGATCGAAACCTCCAAGAACGGCCCCCTGCAAACTCACCTCATTGGATCACTCCCTCCCTACACATACTATTCATTACTAACAAAATGATCCACTCGCAACCGCTCTGCTTGCTGAAGCACTCTGATACTCCGCGAGGATACGCATGTATTATATAGCCCACCAATGCTTATCACCCCTAACAAAAACCAAGAATACAAGACAGCAAAGTTCGTTACGCAAAGAGAATGAAATTATGCCCCTTCCCCCCAACCCGCCCCCCCGCTGAATGCGAAGGCAACCCAGTATTGCTGCCAATCCATGGTACCGCCCCGGACTGTGGCGGATGGCGAGCTAATGGAACGGTGGCGGCCTTCTCTTCACTATGTATTCGGACTGGAAATCACTCCCGGTGCAGCGAAAACAGTCGACAACGCAGGTCGAATGTCAGGACCACTGTGTCAGGGGCCATGGCCACACAAAGCGTTTCGCGGAGGGGTGAGGAGTAGCACCTCCACAAAGGGCCATTGCAGGCAGGGGAAATGGAAAGCCTTGGCGACACATCGCCAAGTGATTTCGGACCCAAATTCTGACAGCGTCCAGTTCATGGCTATTGGCAATGCAGTGGAACGAAGTCGCGTCCGCCATGCGTGGCGGATGGCGAGTAGTGGAACGAGGCCCTAATTCTTTTAAACACCACACGTCGGCCCGCCGGTGTCAGCATGAAACCCACACCGCTCCGGGGGCCGCCGATTTTTGTTTTCAACAGCGCCCCGTGCCGTGCGGCCCCTCCGAGTTTTGTTTGTGGCGACAAAAACTTTCTGCGAGGCTGGGGCCGTGTACTTGCGGTTTAAGGCTTAAACCACCAGTACTTGGCCCATACATTGTCCGGGCAGGGGGCCCTCACGTTAACCCACAGCAACTTTCGGGGCTGGGCCACCGTTGATAAATCTCATCAACGCCCTTTGATGTGTTTACAGCTTCCAAGAGTCGTGGTGAGGGGCTTGGGGCAGATGTATGGGCCAAGTACCGGTGGTACATAAAAAGGAAAAAAGTAAAAAAGATGATCAGTGCCTGGAAACCCAGGCCAGCAATTACATTCTGAAGGGCTAATATTGACCCTTTGAACGCATTCGAATTGGGCAAATTTTGACCCTTTCATACCCAGTTTGATGGGGCCAATTTTGAAGGGAAAAGTTATAGAAGCTCCCCGCGGCAAAACCTGTGTATGGATTTCTCCCCAAAATGGACTTCCTGCATTTCAGGTCCCCCAATAACCTTTCTGTTATTCTTGCTCCCCGGTCTGAGGCCGGTAGGGCCTCAGTCCGGGGCTGAGGCCGCGGGAGCTTGATAACCAAGGCTCACTTCGTATTTCCAGCCGCCAGCCAACCTAGTTGCACGTGGACGATATTCGGGCTAGGTACATTCGGGAGGGCATAGCATAGCATACTCGGGTCCGCACTTCCTTCACCTCACCTGCGCCCGATTCAAGAAAGATACATCCAAGAAAGTGCAAGTGTGCCGCAGGTCCGAAAATGATTTCCCGCCATTTTTGCATAGCGGGCATTACCGGCCCAGTACGCAGCCGGAGGTGCTCGGGCCTTCACCTCACCTGGGCCCTATTCGAGAAAGATACATCCAAGAAAGTGCAAGTGTGCCGCAGGCCGAACGAAAACTTAAAAAAGAGCCAAGCTTATCATCTTCCGCGGCCTCAGGATCGGTCTGAGGCCCTACCAGGGAGCAACAATTACAGAAAAGGTAATTGGGGGACCTCAAATGCAGAGTGTCCATTTTGGGGAGATATGGATACAAAGGTTTCGCGGCGGGGAGCTTCTATAACTTTTCCCAATTTTGAACCTTTCAAACCCTTTCTGACCGGCCTAATTTTGACCCTTTCCCATCCATTCTGACCGGGCCGGCCTAATTGAGACCCCTCCCTACCCATTTTGACCGGTGTATTATTGACGGAGCATGTGTTCATAGGAGAGCAGAGCGGAGTCGAGGTCCCACTCGTCACAAATGGGAAAGGGGAAGCTAGGTCCCACTACCAGAATCTGGATGGTCTTTTTTTTTTTTTTTTTTTTTTTTTGTTGTTGTTGTTGTTGACGGCCTTCTTAGGTGTACTAACTGAGCTACGCCCATTGGTTGGATGGGTTTTACAGAGATGCTGAAAAGCTGATCAACTGCTACGTTCTGCACCTCTCCAAACCGTCCAGATTCAGGCGTTGAATCAAACCCTCTTTGCTACTAAAGTGGGGCCTCGCCACGGGTAAGTGGAACTCCGTTTTTTTTTTTTTTTTTTTTTGTTTTTTTGTTGACGGCCTTCTTAGGTGTACTAACTGAGCTACGCCCATTGGTTGGATGGGTTTTACAGAGATGCTGAAAAGCTGATCAACTGCTACTTTCTGCACCTCTCCAAACCGTCCAGATTCAGGCGTTGAATCTAACCCTCTTTGCTGCTAAAGTGGGGCCTCGCCACGGGTAAGTGGAACTCCGGCCACGCGCTCTGGTCACGCTTTCGTGAGCCCTCGCGGAGTCGCGGTCACGGTCACTCTCTTCCATTCGTCATCATCCCCCTCCTTCTTCGTCTTTTTTTTTTTGTTGTTTCTTTTTTTTTAATGCTATTGTCGGATTGTCCTTGCCCTCTCGCGAGGACGCCAGGCTATAAATAGGAAGCCTCTTCTGAGTCCAGTCGTGTGTAATTGAAGTCGTAACAGCGACATGTTCCTAGAGTGGATGGTGTTGAAGGTCAAATCCGTGTCTCTTTCCATTGGCGGGAGGGGCGAAGGCGCACTGGGAGGTAGAAGGTGGGAGGGAAGAGGGAGGGAGTGAGCGTCGGCGTGGGCTCGGTGGTGTGTCTCCGAGGGAGCTGTCTGTGTGTAAGCTTGGTCTGGCACAAAGTGGCATGGGGCACGTCCTCTCCTGGTCAACTCGTGTCTTCCGGCATGTATAAGTAGTGTCGGGCATATCCCAGATACGCGACTCCTTATGTGGTAGGCGGCAGCTGTTTGACGATGAGGATTGGGAGAGGGAGAGGGTAGGTCCGCAGAACGCTCAGCGGCTGACGACTTGCAATTCGGGTGATGCGGCGTCGTTGCCACGTGGTGCATTCTGCCGTAATCAGGTGCTTTCTGTTGGGTCTTATCCATAATCATCTTGTGATTGACGTCATCACGACGGGTTCTGTCAAGCGGGTGTGACTCTTTTTGAGGTACTACGTACGGACGTCCGTACAACGGAGCGTTGACATTGGCGGCGGCGAGGCGTCAGGTTTCGATCTTGTGACGTGGCGCTATCCACTTGGCTCTGGTGTTCACGTGGTCGACAGAGACGGAGCATCATCAGTGATAGCGGGAGGATCTGTTGTCTAAGAAGTCGGGTACTCTCGGAAGCCTAATTAGAGTGGCGCGCGTGTTGATAGGGTCTAAACGAGGTGATTATTGACTCTGGAGAGGCGGGTCAACGATCGTGTTGATTGGGTCTAGAGTAAGTGATTGACTTACTAGGAGAGGTGGGTCAACGGTCAAAGGTTGCAGTGATTAGACAATTGCACGTCTGTGAAAGCGCGTCAACATGGTTCTCCTGGCAGCATTTGTGTTGACGCTGCTGTTTTTCTTGGTCGTCTCCAATCCCGTCGTCTGCTGTTTGACGGCCACGATCGGCCCGCCGGTGGCGTGCTTGGGATGTCTCTTAAGTCCTCTCTTTCTAGTTGTGGCTCCTTTCATCATCCCCCTCCGCATGATTCTCGGCCCTATGCCTCTCATTTAGAAGACGACCAATATCTCCTTTCGACGTGTGTAACCTTGTCTTCCATTCATCGATTCGTCGTTTGCTTCTTGATGACGACTGCCATCTACGTGATGATGATGATGTGTCATCTTGAAGATGACGTGTCATCATCTTGGTGATGACATCTAGATGATGCCGTGGTATCTGAGGTGTTCACAATGACCTCGGTCGTACGACTCGTCCCATCACCCGAAGAGGAAAGTAGAAACGGGTTGAAGATGGAACATGGATGAGATAGAGAACTCTAGTTTAACTGATGGCCACAGCTGGCGATTGTATATTTCATGACTATCATCCCATCGGCCAGCCAGTCCTTTTCTCCCGCCACTTTGTCTAATTAGCACGAATGGTGGAAGTGGTGAAAGATGATGACGTGGACATCACCTATCACGCAGTTTGCTTGCAGCGGTATATTTCTGGCGTACGACGTCTACTAGACCACAATAAACGGGCGGACCGAATGAAAGAGTTGACTAGGAATGGATCGACCAATGGACGACATGAAATGCGCAGCATCGTAGGGACACCAGCCGCAAGGTCAAGGATCAGCATACCGATTTTCGGCTAGCCGGTCGTCGTACGGGATGGAGGGTGGTATTCGTTCACGATGCAAGGAGATCCGATTAAGGGTTCGGGCATATCTGGCGTGGTACTCTACTCTAGTGCCGCTCGATGTACACAATGCAGGAGTCATCTGGAGTTAAGTACACAATGTTCGGGGTATGGATATCACTCAATCGTCCAGAGTGAGGATAAAAGGACATGGGAGCTAATGGAGGAGAGAGAGAGAGAGAGTTTGTCGAACGCTCAACGGGCGCGGTAATGGCGGTGGGAACAATTGTCCGATATAACCGATGGTGTTTTCATGAAAGCGGTGTCAGTCAGAAAGTGTGAAATATAAGAAGGGGAATTTTCCCCGTGATAAGT